AGAATACACGAAATGGATGTAGATGTGAAAGACGACCACCTGACCATTATTTAGCATCAAGAAAAGGGACTGAAACCTGAACACCACAAACGGACGACGAATTGAACAGACTTCATTTAGCTAAGACATGTCTTAGCTAAATGCTAAGACATAGCTAAATGCTTACTCATGAGAAACCATAAACCTCCACCTGGAAAAGAGGACACACCGTGCATCCCCAATACAACTAACGACATGATGAATAACTTTGTGCTGGTTTGAAGGAGATGCTAACAGGAGACACAACCGCTCATGACCATGGGCCGCGTGCTGGAGGAACTACTCAAAATGATTCACTCATAAACGCAGCACAGAGAGTGATGGTAAGTTAAAAAAAAAAAAAGCCTAGCTCAGTCTGGCAGACAGGATGTCACCACAGAAACGCCACAGAGCCCTGTGGTGTTTCATCTTGGAGCAAAGGTAAAATATTCTACTGGAAACACCTACTGTTTCAGGAATTACTCTGACCCCTGCTAAAGTGGGATTTATTTCATTATCGTTTGAAGATTCTGTTATTCATGCCTGTCAGAACAACAGAGGGGAAAAAAGTCCCAGAGAGAAAAGTAAATGGTAGAAAAGTAGAGTTTTCTCACCAGCTCGCCCTCACTGCTTCGATGTCGCTCACTAGATTTTGGGCCAAACAGATCCCAAAAATCTGCAAATGGTGGAGAAAACAAAGCGAAACACATCAGTAATATAAGAGGGGGGTTGGGGCAGATTTATTTTGTTTAGACTGGAACTGACCTGCAGTAGTGCGACTCCGATGAAGATCCCGGCCACCAGGGTCAGGTTGTCCTGCAGCCACTTCTCAAACTGTGGCACACAGCCCTTCACGTTGATGAAGTCCTTCTGCTCAGCGTCCTGCAACACAACTCACTGTCACGCACTTATCTTCCCCGAGTGGACTCGCAACATAAAACCCATGAAGAACGAAAAAAACACACACATGGAATCACAAAATTCCTGTGTAGCTCTGGAAGGAGCTGTGTTCCAGTGAGCTCATGCAGAACGTGTTTTAACAGCGTGTAAAATGTTACTTTGTAATGAGTATTAGGGCAGTTTGCCACTGTAGGAAATAGGAGTTAACTTACCGGTTTTGCTCGAACATCATATCCACACTGAGTGTTTATTACATCCTCCTACAGACAGAAACAATAAGACTGTTCAAACCAGCAGAAAATACACCAAAGTGATCAAAATCATCAGATGACCTACCGCGGGGTCCTTGGTGCAACAGGAGAAGGGAACCCCACACTTTTCCCGACTTGGATTCCCATCAGTGCAGTTAAAGTATATGTTCAGGTTCCAGTCGTCAGCCCCGAACGCGCCGCAGCATTCCCACTGAAGTTAGAAAAGGACCAAAGTTAAGTTAAAGAAACCTACGGGTGAGATTCAAGATTTTGTCAAGTTGCATAGCAACAATTCTTTAAATTAAAGCAGTTTGAGGACAGTTTGGGCGAAACATGAGGTATTGGGGTATAATCTAAGATGGTTCTATGCAGCATCTTCATTACCATTTCCTTGACTTACGTATTCCTGAGTGAAATCGATTAGGTTCTGCAGGTCGATGTCGTCCCTGTACGCCCGGATGTTGTTGTTTATGAACAGGTTCAGCTGGTCTTTGATCCAGTCTTTGAAGACAAAGGCCAGAATTCCCGTTGTCAGCTCCAGGAAAAAGATTATTCCCAGAAAGACAGAAAACTACAGGAGAAGAGGAGGACACAGATGATAGAGAGGTCAGGCCCGTGCAGGACATTGACCGTTTCTGTTGGTTTATGGCCCCTGTGCAGTCAAACTTACAAACTTAAGCAAAAAGGTGTTTTCTCGCAGCGCTCCAATGCATCCAGCGAAGCCCAAAATGAACATAACCCCTCCAACCACCATAAAGAGCCAGACCGGGTCCAGGCCCCCCAGGTCGGTGATGGACGAGATGTTGGACAGGACCCCCTAAAGGAGACAGAGCACATCGCCCCGCCCGGTGAGTCTGGACAAGGGTCAAAGGGGCATAAAGGAGACCAGACCTCCACCTATGACCAGCAGGTTCCAGGAACTGCATGAGCATTTTCTAAAACCAAACATGTTTAGCGTTTTACTTTTGCCCATAAGGAAGCTGGAAAGCTGGAAAACAAACCAGATGTTGAGCTATTTCCAACATTAAAGGATTAGCGCGGGTGATGAGCTGCTTCCACTAAACCAGAGGACAGCCATTTGGTCTCCGTCGACTCCACGGAGACCCAGCAGCTCTTAAGCCACCGGAGGCCGTCTATGCCCGCCTAGCCTCTGCTTCATGTGGTTCAGACCACTTACACAACTGGATTCTTACTTTTTTAATCTGAAATATAAGAGGATGTGCTTACCTTCTCACTCCATGCCCACAGTCCAATTCCAACCAAGGCCATGCCCAGCAGCTGCAAAACACCAGTCACACCAGTCACACCTGTTACTTCCAGTAACAGGTAACAATATCCTACAGAAGCTTTGTTTTAAACTTTATTTTTATCCACAATATTAGTTTAAACAGCCCAGCTACAATTATTAGGTGAGAGAAAGTTTTTTATTTAGTTTATAGCGCTGCTTATCGTGGTAATCAGCCATTGGCTGCAGTTTATATTGACTGGGTGCTTGGGACAGGACTTTTGCACCACTCATGTAATTCACATGAGCACACTGTGTCCGGCTGACCCTCACACCCGCTGCCCCCTCACACCCAGTGACCCAGCTTCTCTCTGCGGCTTTGGGCAAGCAGCCAACCCTGTGCAGAGTAGACCCTGTCCATCAGTCATCTGGCACACAGAAACCGGCTTCAGTGGGCTTCCACTGTCTCACAGCTCATGTGTGAGGAGGTCCCACTGACCACCAGAGACCCTGAAAGCTGGACCATACCGGGGTCTGGATTGTGCTCTGCGGCAGCCTGGTTTTCTCCTGACGTCAAACGTGCGTCAGGCTCTGTTCATCCACTCAAAAGGGAATGCCTGCTACACAACATGAGGGGTAGGACGACTGCCATCTGCCCCTTCTGCCCCCCGTCCTATCGCAGGACAGAGTCGGGTCCCTGACCGCTTCTCTACGGCTCTAGAGTCCCGTTTGGGAGTGACGTCACTCTCTACATTTCCACGTCACGCCGGCCGGATCCCGCAGCCCGTGGCCTCCCAGCTGACCGGCCGCGGGCTGCCCTGAGCCCGTCAGCTGGATGGAAGCCGCTGAGCTGCCTGTGCGGAAAGCCGATTAGCTCTGCGGGGCCGGGCGCAGCTGCCCCCGTCCGGACGGGGCTGCCCAACGGCCCAGATACCGGCCACAAGGAGCCCCGGACGGCCGATACTAGCAACACGGAGCCCCGGCCCCGGAGCTAACGGTCCGGTGGTCCGGCCAGAGGATGCGGAGCGGCCTCCCTCCCCACTGTACACAATAGCCCAACTGCTGTAATAAAAAAAAAAAAACACAACAAAAAAAAAACCCACTCCAAAGCCTCTTACCCAGAACAGGATGTTGAATCCGAAAATGAAGTATTTGATGCAGCAGCTGACTTCGTGGCCTTTGTAATGGTTCCCCGACATGTTGGAGCATCGTCCGCCTGCGTGTGCGTGAGGAGAAAAACACGGCCTGCTTCACGGGCTTTGTGCTGCGCGGCGGGGAGCAGGGTCATGTCACTCCGAGGCCTCAGGGCCGCGGCGGGGACATGGCGGACGGGCGCTCACCGACACCGCTTCGACGCGCAGCCCGGCCAACATTCAGGCGCCATTAAAATGTTCCAGAAGATCCGCCTCCTGTCCGCGCGAGCTGCGCCTAGATGAGGCGGTGACGCCGCTGGTGGTGCTCAACAGTGATTGGTTGGGAAACGCGACGTGATGGACGAAAGTGAAAACCAATCATATTAGAGAAAAGCAACTTGCACTTCCGGTATATATCTATATTTTTAAACTATAATGCTATATCAGGACATGAAACTCTTATTTCTGAACGTTTCTACTGAAAAGTGAGCTACAATAAATGTGCAGCATAGTGTAGGTTTCTAACTGAACAATTTGAGTTCCCTGTACTAATATTAAACCAGTAATTATTTTGTGCTTACTAAACGATTGTTTATACACTGCTGTAGTTATTAACAACGTCCGCCAGAGGCCGCTATAGGGCACTTTCCTCTGGTTTAGGGTTCAGACATGGACGCAAAATCATCCTCTCCCAAAATAAAGCATGTATTGAACATCTATCTGACGTGTTTTATCAGGCCAGTTATACAAATACAGAACCAGCGTATGGAAAACTAGTTCCCCCATGGCTTCTTCTAAAGAAATCAAGAATAAAAAGAGCAACCAGGGACTGTTAAACAAATTCACTTGAATCACCACAAGTCATTGTGTGCGTCTTTAAAGAAGTTTTTCTTGGTTTGCTGCTCTGGATGCCAAGGATACATTCACCAGTGGAAAATGCTCAGGATATCTGTCTAACGTCCCAGGAACCAAAGCCATAAACCAAAGAGGTATTTCTCAGACTCTATATGCCTTTTTTAGTTGGTTAAAGGTCAAAGTTCATAACAATACAGTGGGCCAATACATGATCTCATTCGGCTGGTTTAGTATTATTGCTGCTTTATTGTTGTTTATTGTTTTCTCTCTTTTTCTTCTTTACAGCACAACTTAAATTGAAGCATGGTATAATTGACCACAAGAGAGCTATTTGCCATCCTATCTAAGAAATTTTCTATCATTTGCAGGTATTATATTCACTGAATGAGTCAATGAAGGGAGTCTTCCCAAGGGATCAATAAAGTTCTGTCTGTCTAAGTCTGAACAACAATGTCACAGCATCAAGTATAACAAACTAAGTCACAGTCCAAATGGGAGCTGAATATTTGTGAAATGAGACTCACAAATATGGTGGTTTCAATTTATGAACAGATCTGAAACTAGTTCTGACATTTACTTTGACACTGACTTCATTATAGACAGTGTGGGCCCTAGTTCATGTTTTGTCCCGTGGCGTTCCATCAGAAAGGCCCCCAAAATTCAGTAATAGTACCTGATGGGAACAGGTAAGAGTTGCAGGCCAGTCAGTCCGGTACGTGTGGCGTCTCCTCTCCTGCGTTTCCATTCCCCTGCTCAAACTGATGGATGCCTCTGGATAAAATGGGATCTCCAAGGCAACAAATTTTGCTCTGAAATCTCATTAAACGTCTCTGCATTGATGCTGCAATAGAGTTTAAATTCACAGACTGACTTTTGACATTGGTTAATTAATCATTAAGTTTGAAACAAACAGCATACATTTTCACAATATGAACTAAATGTTGATTTGTCCTCATTTCTATTGTCAACAGACCATCCAGACCTGAATCCAGATCAGCTTTGGATGTGGACAACATAAGTATGAGGTGGTATTTCTTAAAGCGGACTTAAACAAAACTTTTTCACAGTGATTCCCTGTTGTTGATGTTATCTCAGCTGCTGATGACAGAGTTTTTTTTAAAATCTGTGTCCAGTTTAAACTTGCATCTTTATTCTTTTACACTCTTTTTTCCTCAAAGACTCATGATAAAAAATGTACACGTTGACATCACTCATTAGAAATAATACCTAACGATATCTCTCTTCCTCCTTTAGGTATGGTTATGGCCCCCTGACCCTCATGAGTAAGCTAAATCCAGGTAAAACTTTGCATAAAACAAATGAGCGCACACACACACACACACACACACACACACACACACACACGCTTTCCCACAGCTGACTTCGTGGTTTTAATGGTTTTCAGTGGTCATGGAAACGTTTTGTAGGTTTGTAGATGGCTGTCTGCTCTTTCCTGGATCAACTCGTAGGCATTGTGTGTTTTTTTTTTTTGCCTTCCGCAGATGCAGTGGCTGGATTTCTTTTTTATCAACTTTTTTGTCTTCTATCTGCTTCCCTTGTCCACTCACTCCCCCTCTTTCTCTTATTCTTTCAATCTTTTCCTTTTTTATTTCTTTCCTTCCCTTTTATAAGGAAACAATTAGAAGTCAAATCTCAGACTATGATGATTAAAACAGGATCTGTGCTTTTGAGTACACAAAGAAAGAACATTTTACATGTTGCTTTCATTACAAGCCCCCAACATTGTAACTTCTTTTGAAATGTTGCAGACCTCAAACAGAATCATATTAACAACAGAAATGGAAGTGCCAGAATTAACAATGTTTTTTTTTTAATCACGTAGTTTATTTTTTAGCAGCATTAGTGAACGTATCTATATCTGGAACAAGACAATGAAAACAAATTCAATTTGATCAAAGTACGCTCGGCATGTCATTCAAACACCGCAGAGTAGTTCTGGTCACAGTCAGGCCTGGAGAGGATGTTCCCTATAGAGCACCAGCAGGGGTTCGCTCAGAGAGCCCCGGTCCAGGCAGTACAGGCTCTGAGTGAGGGCCTGGTGCAGAACCAGACTGCCCCTCTCATCCGTGTAGCGCAGCTGGAAGCCCACCCCCTCCAGAGCCCCCCCGCGCACAACGTCCGACACGTCGAACACGTCGTACCCGGACGAGGGCCGCTGGTCCAGGGTCAGCTGCCGCTCCTCCAGGGGGGGGCTCTCCCTCAGCCGGTGGTCCCGGGAGGCCACCACGCTGTGCAGGCTGACCGTCACGCTGAGCGGGCGGGGGTGGAGGGTCTTCCTGAACAGGACCAGCTCCGCGCCCAGCATGGAGGGGTCAAGGCCGCTGACGTTAAACCAGATCCATCCTGGTGGAGCGTACGGGGGACCTGCGTGATCCAGAGAATAAAATACAGAATAGGCTACGACTCAAAACCATTTGAATGGCACATTCAAACACTTTTAGTTAAGCTAGAGTGTTGACTGTTGGGGTCAATCAGTGCTAAAATATCATAGAATGTCATAGATCTGACCAGCAGTAGGGTGGTTACTTTACATATGGACATGCTCACTTTAAGACTGTACTAAGGCTAAGTATACACTTGTTAAACGAGAGGAAGAAGCACGCTTTAACCGATAACTGTGTTAAAGATATTTAATTGTTTTCAGATTCTTACCATCAACACTGCGAAAACTCTGCACCAGTAGTCCATCCGATCTTCCAAAATCCTGAGCCTCCAGGGAGTCCAGGTACTGGTAGATCCTCCTCATGTACGGATGTGGTTTGGCATGATGGCTGGCTGACACTTTATCGATATGAAGCATTTCCAGAATGGCTTTGCTGAGCCCTTTGTCCTCCTCCGCTTCTCTGCGTTGATCCATCAGCAGCAGGCCTGTGGCCGACCAAACCAGGAGGAAGAGCACCAAAAACCCCAAACCCACACCCCGGGCCATTCTGGTCTGAACTGATCCTGATCCCGGCCGGTAGGAGGAATATTTTTTACTCTTTTCGGTTCGACCACTGCCGCAGAAAGCGCCACCTTTTCTGACCGATGTGTTTGTCCGTGCACACACCCCAGGGGCTGTCAGGACTCAGTGCAGCGGTCCAGTTCTGAAGCTGAGGAATGTTCCTTCCCTTTGAGCAGCACTCTGCCGTGCAGGGAGCCGAGGCCCCGCCACTCTGCTCTGAGCAGGCCACCACTGGGCCGGGGCACCGACCGGAAACACTCCTCTGGGATTTGAGACAAACAGGACAGACTCATGGTATGTGAGAGCCATGTAGAATCCAAGCTGAGATCCAACACTTAAAAGGAAAAACAGAAATAAATCAAACACGTCACATGTCATACTGGAATAATTACAATGGTTGATCTTTTTTTTTTTAAACATAGAAACATTAATACATCCCAAATTTGAAAATAAGCTTCCAACACTTAGAAATAATCCACTCATAAGAAGGAGAATTAAAGAAAATGGACCACACCTTTATTTATGTCAATAGGACAAAGAATGGTGGACACAGCCCTTTTTGTCTGATAAAAGACAGGACGGTCTCTCCTGTTTTTGACCAGCTCTGGGGGTGTTTTGGTACGGATGACAGAAGACCTGCAGAAGAGCACTGCATGAGGTGGAGGAGAGGGGGGGGGCGTGCCCTGTATTAGTGTTCTGTGGCATTCCCAGTCAGAAATGGTGGGGTTCTCCTCATTTTGTCAGAGCATCACCTCCTTGTCCATCGTGGTTTCATACTGCCCCCCCCCCCCCCCCCCCCCCCCGGGGCCCCTTCTTTTGTATATTTTGAAAGTATTCTTTCATTTTCTAGGTTCTAGGTGTGGTGGTTGTGCTCTTAATATGGTTTCTGATGCCAGATTAATGCCTCTTGGATGTATGATGGACACCTGTCTTGCTGTTTGGATCTACCTGCAGCCCACCATCAAGCCCTGCCGCCCAAGGACCCCCCCACACATCCCCCCTGGGACTCTTGGGACGCTGACCTGGACCCTGTAAACTTGTCCCGGCTCCCTGGTACCTCCTCTCTCCCGCCAAAGTAAAAAACCCTGTTATTCCCCAATTAACCCACAGCATTTATTTTATATGGTGCTTTCCTTTTCAACCATTTTGATTCATGTGGACAATTTGTCCATGCAAACCTTTCTATTTAAAAAATTGGTTCATACCGTGACTATTGTGAGCAACTAGTGTTCATAAAGGCAGATATAGGATGTATTTTGATTAACTCTTGATCGCACAGTACCAATAAATCTAACACATGGGAACCATTCCAGTTGATTTTAGCGTAGAAGAGGCTGGACAGTAGGGATTGGACAAGTGGAATTGCCTACAGTAGCATGGACACAGACCTCCAGAAGCCCTGACTTCTACAGGGAGTGACTGGCCTTACCTGGACGCGGTCAGCATGTCACATGACTTAGGTAAAGCAATGATGTTTTTATTCTATTCTTTTGTTCAAAGAGTGTACATATGAAATGCGCTTATCTGTAAGCAAATGTTCTTATCTGTTCATTATCTGTATTACCTTAATTCATTTAACCATTGTTGCATAAGGAGCATGTCTCAGCTGCCAATGGGCCAAAAGCAGATTATTGACCGTGTGAACTTAACCTGTATGTTTGTGGACTTTGGGGGGGGGAGCTTTTGCATGCACAGTGACACACACAGACTGCACACAGAAAAGTGGCAGGAGCTTGTTTTTGGGTTTGGTTTCCTTTTAGTTCTCCCAGTGGTTTGGTTTATTCCTGTTATTTGACTTCAATCTATCTAGTTTATTATGTTTTTGTTAGACTTGACAGCTCTTGGTTTAGAGTTCCCTCAGTCTCTTTCTGTGTTCTGTTTCTTGTTTTCTTGATCTACATAAGCCTCTCTTTTCGTTCATTCATTGTTGGATCCTTGCCTCCACTCTTAACTTTCCTGTGTGTGTCCTCACTTGTTCACTAGATTTCTGTGTTTTCCCCCTCTGGTTCCCTTTTGTCCACGTTTCCTGTTCAGTTTTTTGTCATTTGTGGTCTTTTTTAGCTTTAGGATTTTTGTTTTTTTCATTTGTCCGTTTTGAGGATAGCCTAAATTCACACGGAGTTCTAGTTTCTTTGTTCCTTATTTTGGCCCTGCATGTGGATCCTACAGCCTCTTTTCGCACACATCATTACAGAAATGCTCCACTTGAGGGTTGAACCTTCTGTGGAAACCATTAGACACCATATGGAACTCCAAAGTCATGATGATACAAATGTTTATTACTGAATTGAAATAGTGTTAATTTGAAATACTAAAAAGAAGCAAAAGCAGATTAGAACAATTCATTTGTGGTGTTAGAAGCCTGTTACACACATGTGCAAAATCAATGAAGAATCTTACCGTGCACATGTCAGGCCGGTCTGGATCCAGATCACTGATTATCAAAAAAACAAACAGAAACTAAGAGTCAGGTAGAACAATACACGGAGGCTGATGGATATAGCTCAGAGGAACAAACCCCAGCAATCTGTGGACTGAGACCTTCTGGAACCAGTGGAAGGGCCCAAACACAGAGAGGACACAGAGAAATAATGTATATTCAGGGTAGCAGTGGTCAGTGAGGGAGGAAGTAAAGTGGCCCGAAAAACAAAAGGATGCGAGTGCACAAAATAAAACAAATCAGAAAAAACTGAAATGTAAAATCAAAACATTACTTAAACTAATCCAAAAATCCAGACTTTGACAACCCCTACAGAGATTGTAATTTTTTTCAAAACAGGTTTTCTATGTAGAGCAACAAATATTTTTTTATCAAGCTGTTTTTGAGAGTGAAATTAGAAATAGAGTAACATGTCCAGGTGGAAAGGAGGAATTCTATTGCCAAAAAACAGTTTAATCTCAAATGTGTCACATTCAAATAGAATTCCATTTGATCCACTTCCTGTTCTGTCAGATGAAGACTAGCTGCTGCAGGGGGGGGGGGGGCATTCTGCAGAGAAAGCAGACCCCGTTCAAAGCCCCCTGTAGAATGGAATGTATTTATTTGTTTTAGCTTCAGGCCCTTAAAACAATATACAGTAAATTCAGATTGAAACGAAGGATGTTTTTCTCTGAGATCCCTGTATAGGGAGTATTGAGGGGACATTGCAAGGTCCTAAAACACCAAACAAAGCAGAATCCAATGATTTATTTTCAACTGGATTTGTCTTTCAGGACTTGTTACAGCAGTTTGGTACACAGACCAAGGCTGTTTCTATATCAGACTAAATAAATTAGTTAATAAATCAGAAATAAATTAGACTAAATTAAATAAACGCAAACTAGACTGAAATTTCACCTGAATGCTGTTGTCTTCTAGGTGTATATATAAAAGCTGATTCTAATTTCTCCAAGATTTGGGCAAGAAAGGGAAGGTTAGAATTAATATCATTATTAATGTTTTTCAGATCTGTTATTTTGACCAATGGCACAATCTGAAAAGGGAAGCTCCATGTCAAATGCCTTTTTAAATAAAAAACTCTTATATCATAAACAGAAAGATGACCAACAAGCCTTTGGTCAGCACTCACATCCTGAAGTAAAAGCTCTTCTACCTCTTCAAAACAATGTCATTTGGGTTTGTTGTTTATCTTCCCTGATGCCTGATGGTGTCCACCTGCCCCCCCCCCCCAAGTATTCTTCTAGTCTGCGTCTCCCTTTTTCCTGTTCCAGTGTGTTCATTTTCGTACAATTATCGGTGCGTTCACCCTAGCCTAGCATTTCCAAAGTCTTGATGGTTTAAGTCATTTGTGTGGCATACATAGGCATCTGGACGTAAAGTCCAAAACGTCACGTCCAGCTGCCTAAATTAAGTTTCCAAGCTTGACCATGACCTGGAAGACTGAGAATCTACACAGATCTGTCATTTTTGTGACAAAAACAATGTTTCTCTCTTTCTCTGGATTTGTTTGCACTTGTATCTTAATTGATCAGCTAACAGAGATCATGACTACAAACCACCCTTAAAATAGATAAATACTTGATTATAAACTAAGATAATCAGAAGAAAAAAGAACGAAAAAGGTATGATTCACATAGAATGAGTCCAAATAGTAGTTTTTTCACTTGCTGGGTTCTCAAAAGCATCTCAAAAGCTTTTCATATCAAAAACTCTAGTGAGTTTGATTCCATTGGTAGAAACTTCTGCTATTCGTTGGCTGTAACTTTGGTAAACCTTTTTGAAACCAGCCCCCCCCCCCCCTTCTGTCATTCCACTGTCAACAAAGGCCACTACAGCCAACACAACCTGTATTGAGGAGAAAAAGCTTAAAACATTCAGTGGTTGAGGCAAACGATCGGAAAAGCTAAAGGTAAATCTAAAAGGCTTTCATTTTAGATGTTACAGGACAGTAGGATCTGATCAGAGCAGAGCAGACTGGAAACACAGAGAATAGCTCCACCATCACAGAGTGGTACTTAAAACTGAGAAACTAGTTTTGTGTGGCTGTGATGTCATGTTGTAGCTGGGAAAAGCAAAGTGTAGTTAACAAAGGTGAGGAGCCTTTCTTCTCTGGTGGATTGCACATTTGTGTGAAGGCATTTCAGCTTGTTTTATTTAGCACAATGTGTCAATACACCGCCCATAATGTGACAGCTTACCTGCTCATGTGCACTCCAACTGTCACTGTACGGAACAAAAGACATGGAAAAATACAAGACATTGTGCCTGAAACTAGTTTTCTCCCAAATAATGTATTGACCACCTGACATATAGAGGAGCGGGAGTCCTAAACCTAACAAAGCAGGTTTGCTTTTTTAGTTGTGTGAGCAGTAAGAAAACCAAAAAATGGTCACTGATGTTTAATTGAATAGACACTGAAAGGCAAGGCAAGTTTATTTGTGTAGCACATTTTGTGTACAAGACAATTCAAAGTGCTTCACAAAGAATTTAAAAGCAGAAAAACAAAGAAAGAAAAAGAATCAACAAAATTAATTAGATAAATAAAAAGTGAATGGTGCAG